TTAATCAAACAAGTTAATAGGCTTGGGCAGCACATATAAATCTTATCTTGAGTTAGCTCTATATGATAAAACTGTAAGCCAATTTATTTGAACTTTTTTTTAATTTCGAACTATGAAACGTATAGTTTCAATTTTTTCAATTTTATTTGTTAAATTTATAATTTGGCTTAAACATTACGTGTATGTTTGTTTTTTAATCGATTTTTTAAACGTATGATTGTTAAACCTTAATCGATTGTTTTTAATTTTATTTGTTAAATTTATAATTTGGCTTAACCGATTCTCCATTACGTGTATGATTGTTTTTTAATCATTTTTTAAACCTTAATCGATTTTTATAAACGTATGATTGTTAATTAATTAATCGTTTTTTTTTTTAATTTTATTTGTTTAATTTATAATTTGTATTAACTGATTCTACATTACGTGTATGATTGTATTTTAATCTATTTTTAAATCTTAATCCATTTTTTTAAAACATGTGATTGTTAAATCTTAATCGATTTTTTTTTTATTTGTTAAAATTATAATTCGTTAAAGATTGTAACTTCAGTCATGTTGTTGCAAAACATGGACCATTCTATGGGACTATGCAATGTGACACGGTTGGTTGTGACCAAACTCTCCGCTCATGTTTGAATGCAAGATATTGACGGGCGATCATGCTGGCGACTTGATTCCTAGAATGAATATTACTCCTTCTAATCTTAAGGTTTCATTTAAGTTCTAGCTGGCGACAGTTCCCACTTGTGGTTTCGGACATGACCATAACAAGAGTCAGGGACAGTCTTTATCCCACGTTGGTCTTTTTCTAGAGAAATATGTCTTTAGTCATGGCCAATTATATGTTGTTGTTTCGCATGTAACTAATAGAAGGGGGTTGAAGATATTAGTTTGTGAGGATGACGAGTTGCCCAATAATCAAACTCATAATGTTGTGTAAAAGGAGGTATTTAATAATATATGATTGTTCATTTCTCGAATACTATTTTATTGTACAATTTTCTTGTGTATTGTAAAACTTTTATTGAATATTGCATTTTATAATATAATATTTTCTAAATAAATATATCTCGTGCCTCGCACAGGTCACTTACTATATATATCCGTACATTT